GTTGGTTGACCTCGTTGTCGCAACTTGTTCTTGTTGTCAGGGCGACTTAGCAGAGCGCACCTAGTCCGAAGTCGTTCGCCATAGTAGTTGTAATGATTCCCAACATCAGACAGTGAACTTGGTACATTTTCATAAGTTTCGTCGGCATCATAGTCGCACTAAGTTACGAAAGAGACTTGTCTCTTTTGAGAATGTACCAAGTCCATTTTCTGATGCTGGGAATCATGACAACTACTATGGCAGACGACTTCGGACTATATTCGTTCTACTAAGTTGCCCTGACAACAAGACCAAATTGGGACAACGAGGTCAACCTACTTATATAAATCGAAAGGAGACTGCGACCATACCATCTCGGTCTTCATATCTACAAATGGTTGGCTTTGCGAGTGATTTTCTCCGCGGAATGTAGATGGCCTATTTGCACAGTTCTTTTCTTATTTCAACTTAACTCCACAACGATGAGATTTTGTATATCTTCTTCATTGTTTCTATACTGTCTTGTTTATTCGTTCTGCTGAAGCCCTTATTAGCTGACTTGCACACCTTGGAGAACGCAATCATGGCTCTTTAAAAGTGGTTGCGACTCTCTTCACATGCCACTCGAAGGAAGATTACAAGCGACATCTACATGGCTCTTAATAGAATTGGTATGGTCCTGTTTTCGCAACTTAATCGTGCTACCAAGGCGACCTTGTAGAACACATCCTGTCCATTTTATTCATAATAATTTCCACTATCGGGCCGTTGATTTGAGAATTGGCACTGCTATTTGGACAGCGGATGCTGGACGAGGTATACTTTTAGGGATTGCCCTGTTAACACGGACAAGTTGGGGAAAAGAGGTCAGACGAATTACATTTAGCGACATGAGACTGAAACTAAAACTAGGAGCCACACAATCTGGCCGTCTTACCTTCAATGGCCTTGAAAGTCTTCCAAAACATCGGCTGAATTCTTAATAGGACATGATCAGATACCTTTCCTCAGCATAGAATTCCGAAACTGACCTCATGAGGTCTGTGTAGTCCTGAACATTTGTAAGTGCTTTTGTGTTTGTGTCAATTTGTGTGTATGCACACTAGCGTGTGAGTGAGTATGTTCGTTAAATGAGATGAGATGAGATGGGGAACAGATTTTCGTTTCGATCGTTGCGCCCGAGAAATAGAAAATGAAATTAGCGTTTTCTGAGAGTCTTCCTAAAGCTGAGACAGCACATCAACTCTACACCGAAGACATTTCAACTTTCCTAGAGGCAGACGCTCTTGCCTCGATTCACCTCTGACACTCGACATGACAATTGATGACATCCAGAACCTTTCACATTTCCATTCTGGCTGACAGATTAGCAGATGCCAGGAAAATGTCGAACACTAGTCGTCCAAGAGAGCCACCAAAGCGGAGATGGTATAACACTAGAAAGCCGTCATGCCGCTGTTTATTCAAGTCTTGTCTCCTTTCGCTAGCATGTGTACGTGTCTGAGCATGGAATTATTATATCTATTAGAATTTATTGTGAAGACTTATTTTCAACGATACGCAAAATAATTAGATTTGTCCATTTTTAGGCAGTAGTATTCCGGTATTGTAGATTAAGACGAATGCTTCCCATCCTGTTGCATAGAGCAGTCCCTTGACATAAAGAGATAGCGGCTTTAGTAGCATGATAGCATATTATACCTTATTTTATTCTATATTACTGTATATGTGCATATATGCACCTTGATTTATTTATTTATGAATGGGGATAAATATTCTTCACTGCGAACAATTCTTCTTAATTACATGGAGTGCATTCACCCTATTTCGTGTAGGGTGATAAAGGGATTGGTAGTTGAATTTTCCCATAATCATATTGGCCAATTTCACACGGCCTTGTCACTCGCAAGGTATTCTTATCAACGTAGGGGTGGACTGCAGTTTCAACCTCGTCTTGGTCTCATAAACGCCTGCAGTGGGACTTGAACCATGACACCAGTCCATCCTGGATGAGAACATCTTTTAGGAAAGCTAGGCTATGCGAAATTCAATGGAAGCGTAAGGTCTACTTATATGATTGTGGAAAAATTCAATTACCGGTCCCTTTATCACCTTAAAGGAAATAGGGTGAATACACTTCATATATAAATGATCTACTGTTAGTCTCGAATACCTACTTAGAAACGAAGTTCTTCTTAAGCTCTTAAGCTATGATTTTGAAATGATTAATTTGGGTGACTGGGGCACAATAGAAGCTTGAAAATAAGACAACTGTGATTATGCTTTCCTTCTCAGGATACTCTTGGCTGCGCCTAGTAGATTCTTTCATACTCCTGTTAGGTTCCTCTATAGCAAGCCAGCGTTCTGTAGGTATAGTTCTGGATGGGCCTTTTTTCATGCCTCACTAAGTACATTTGTTGTGATAACGTTTTAAAATTATAAGCAATTCTTTAATAAAATCTTATTCCTTACTATTCTTATTAAATATATTCAGCCTCGTTAAATATTTTCAATTGATTTACACCCTCCGAAAATCCACATAATCTCGATGATCAATAGTTGCAATTCTGGTGATTCATAGGTCCAGCGATAATCTGAACAAAAGACTATTCTTCCATTAAGGCTCATCATACTATGTCTTCCATCCTGAGTGAGGAAACCTTTTTAGAAACAGGTACTAGAATAAATAATTGGCGAAGACTTTTAATTTTTTCATAGGAAGCGTAACGATAGGACCTTTGGTCACCAAAGTGACCCACGATGACTATCATTTGGCCCGAATACAGAACTATATTGTCCTTCCCTCAAAGCCAACTAGTCTTGCCATGAATTCGCGAGACTCTCGATTATCTCATGGTCAAAGTTGAAGATGGGCCATGGACAAGAAAACAAATGTACCATAATGAAAATGGATTATATTCTTTCTAAAGGCCTATTTAGTTCATAAGGATGGACCAATCTAATTCAACACAGCTGGTCAGGGTGATTCGGATCTTGGTCTTGATGCAAGTGAGCCAAGTGAGATCACCCCTCCTGCAATCCTCAACAGTAGCCAAAATAAATGTAATCTTCGCCCGACAATCGGCTACGAGAATGTCTTTCGGACACTCGGATTAACCAGCTCGAAAGCATCAGCTGGCCACCTGCATACCCAATATTTCGATAAATGTAGCTGGCGGTTGGAAAAGTCACAATGTTGCTCATATCCTCTGAAATGTTTGGTCCTTCAAACTGCAAGTGCCACTTGGCACAAGTTCACTGGGTCTTATACACCAGTTTTGCACTATTATTATTTTGTATATAATAAGTGATACGTATTTTGCCGGTATGTTGACCCTGGTGACGCAGGTTCTCAAAAGTTAGCTCGTCGAGCTAAATTTTGAAAGGTGCCTCAGACACATGCTTAATCACATATCCAGCCAAAGTCCAAGTAACCAGGTAAATAAGCTCAGGGCCTGTTGGAGACGGGAGATTCTTCTATGAACTTAGCCTCTCACAGCCGCTTAATGAGATTTAGTGATTAATTGTGGAGTCGGTACCACAATTATCTGCTTAGGCCTAATGGAAGAAGAGTAAAGATTCGTATTTCCTTTACTCCAAATGACACTTGTAAGCGTATGTTGATAGGAAAAAGGGCAGAATGTGCAAAACTTGGGTTTGATGTGTATCTGTGTTTACTCAATGGGCTAAAAGACAAAAACCACTCGCTTGCCACTTATCTTCTAGGTTTTTGAGGATCACCCTTTCTATGACCATCAAGGAACGACCCCGATGCTGACCTCGATGGTAGACTAAGAAACCTTGAGGAAAGTCAGTCACTGAGTGATACTACAAACAAAGGAAAGAAATAAAAGACCATATGCAGGACCAAATCATATATCTTGTTGTGGAAGTGGATGATAAAGATGACGAGGAGGAAGCTGTGAATAAAATGTTTGTTTGCGTTTTAGTCTTGCTGGGTTTACAAGGCACTTTGGTTACCAGAATTGGCCTATTTTATAAGCGAATCAGCAAAACTTGATTTTTTTAACTCTAATTGTCGCCCAGCTATCACTCTTATTTTTCGATTTGAGTAGGATCTCGAGACTAACAGTAAATAATATATATAAAATGTGTTCACTCTATTTAGTTTAAGGAGATTAAGAACTGGTAGTTTATCTTTCTCAAAATGACATGAGCAGTGATTAACGTTCTGTCATAGTTCGCGTTCCACTGGGGATGTTGGTAAGGCCTAGGCGAGAATAAAACTGCAGTCCACCTCCGCTTCGATGAGAATACCTTTTGTGAAAGCAAACCCATGTGAAATTTTATGGAAACGTTAGGTTTTTCATATAATTGTAGGAAAATTCAACTATCAGTCTTTCAAGTATATACGAAGAAAATGTAGGTTTCGAAGAAGCTCTTGAGATAAGATTATTGCGAAGACTTTCATTTCGTATGTAAATACGTGATGAAGAGATTCGTAGGTCAATCTTACTAGAAGACGTTGGCTGATTCGGGTTGTACTGCAGCCGTTCGGCGTTAATATGACGTTTGGATTGATGCAATCCACGAGACTTCCTCGAACGTTTCGGGCGAGGGCGGACTGAGCTTTCGTTCGTCCTGTAACAAACATCGTCAGAGCTGGGACTCATTCTTGCAAATGCCTCCAGTTAGCACAAAGTCAAGAAAACTGTATGGTTTTTTTTCATACTCATTGCGAAAAAAGTTAGATATAGATGGATATAGAAAGATTTGATTAATTCTCTTGTATTTTAATGTGTCTGTATGTATATTAATGTTAATATCTGTACGCAAAACCATTCACAACATTATCAGTCCTTCATCACCTTAAATGCAATCGGGTGAACACATCTCATAAATAGACTTTCGGTTAGCCGCCATCTTGTGCTGTAGGCACGTACCGTATGAGGTTATAGCCATGATCGCTCTGCGAGTTGAAGTTCACCTCGCTACCAGCCTCGAATTTGCACTCGCTACTTAGTGGTACCGACTGTGCTGCCACGAGGATCTCTGTTGCCCTATTTTAGGGTTGCTGGAGATGGGGACAACTTGGCGGATCTAGTGTCTAAGAGCCCTGCTGGTGCTGGCCCGTTGGCAGAAGAAGCAGTAGCGAGGCACTTTTCATGATCTTCTTTTTGGCATACCAGTTGGCTAGTTGCCGGTCGAATCGACGCATTCGGGTCGGGTCGTTTCTCCGGAGAACATCGGCGCAGCATCAGCTGGCTGCAGATAATGTCTCGAGAATGCCGCCTCTTTATCGCTTTTTCA